GCCCCCTTGCATAGTAATTACCTGCATATATAATGATGCGGCCCCCTTGCATAGTAATTACATGCATATATAATGATGCGGCCCCCTTGCGGCCCCCTGCGGCCCCCTAAAAATAAGGCCCGAACGGCCTCTATATTACTACTCATATAAAACAATGAGTAAATGGAGCAAGCAACACAGTCAGTAATTGCCGAATTTGCAAGTGCTCATTTTCAACTAACTAAATCGGAACAGGCAAATTAGGACGAATTTCAACAGAAAACCAGTCTCAAACTTCAATCGTGAGGGAAGTCGACCACATTAATAGCATTTATAATATGTGCTTCGCTGTTGCCATTGTTATAAATAAATTGTCTCACTTATCAGATCGTGTGTGCAATTTTTGTTGGCGGCGGAAAGTACGAAATTTATTTCAGTTATTTCATTTAGTAAAGAACTCCACAACAGAAAAGAGCGTTCAGAGTCCAGATCGCTCGTTTCAAACGGCAATTTAATACCGTCTTCTGTTTCGCTCTCTCAGCGAAGCCTTGTAAATCGCAAAGTGTTTCGAATAGGCTTACATGCAGCTGCATCTCAATATCAACCAAAAGATCATTTTCTTGAGGAACATATAACGTATCAATTAGTCTGTTTGAAATTAATGAAACTCAAGTGTAAATAGGTTACTATAGTTTACCCCAGGTGTAATGTTGCTATTCCAACACCTCACGACAAGCAATCCCCATTGGCATAACGGCAGAAAAATCTCTTCCTTCAAGTAAACAATAAACAGTCTGTTCTTGTTCCATTTGTAATCGAAAAAGCAAAAAAAGTGATCAATTTTCGAATTTTAAGCTTATCGAGAGCCTTTGTGATGAATCACTGACCTAATTATAGAATCCAACAGCAAACAGCCAATCAGAATGCCGCGTTCGTGAGCGAACGCGGAAAGTACAAAATAACGGGCCTTGCTTGCAGGCCCACTATCAGTTCCCTTGGGCCTGCACGCGGGCTGATCGAACACCGAATCCTAATGCAAGTACGCCCATTGCAATACGACACAGTATTATACGCATGTATATGAGGAACATATTATAACATTGGAACAACAGTTCTCACATCCTAACCCCTAGCTTAATCCTGTGGTCCTTATCCTAACCCATTCTGGCTACCTGTAAGCAGGAGAAACACTCTAACATTCTTGGATTCGATCCAGGCGTTAGTGCGTACAAGGCGTGTGCTTTAATTAACCATTCGACTACAGAGGAATTGCTTTAAATCAACTGCCATGAATTTATTGGTATCCTCTCAGCATGTTTAAAGAACGAGGACACTTTTGTTGGACGAATCGTGTCGTCAAAATATTCGGATTCTGTGTTGGACTAATACAAAGTGCCAGTCAGGAATGTGCCAATTCTCGAAAATCCAGCCATAATTAATTATACAAATATATATAAGTTAGAGCGCATGTGCGTTGATGAAGCTCCATTTCCTTGCTGGAATAATTAAAGATTAATTAACTTTAGATTGATTATACGTACAACTTGGATATCCATTGTTTGTAAACGCAACTGTCTTACGCTATGAGGGCATGAGGCCCATGACATGCTGGATTGCTGGCCTGTACAAGACTTTTGCATGTGTGGATGATGTCGTGATGTGTGTACATGACATGTGTACATGATGGCGTGGAAAACTAATCTCATGGTTATAGTCATAGTCATGCTCATTGTCAAATCTAAACTAGTTTTCTAGTGGTTATACACGCAAACTAATAATGTTTTATAAGGCACGATTACATTCCGAAGTTTACTATACCGTTTTCGTTGATGCATTCTGTAAAATTTCCGTACGAGATGTAACATATCAATCCGTGACTATATGAAGCGTTTACCAGATAACCGATTCGCGGAATTGGTTCAGTCTAGTAAAGCGGACAGATTATAACAGCGGGTAGGTGACAGATTATAACCTACTGCCAATTAGCAACAGTATCGGCGGAACAGGAGAGCTATAATTATTCGCCAGAATTGAAAGTGGAACATTTTATGATAAAGAAAAAAATCTTATACGTCGGCAAATTTGATGAACGCAAATTTATGGAAATAAGCCCCCCCCCCCCACGCACACACAACTGTTCCGTCGCCACTGGTTAGCATAAACTGCATTGCTGATAGGTTCTTTGTAAGTTAGCTAGCACAGTAACAGAAACAACGCAATATTTAGTCGTTTTGGTTTATTCCAAAATAAACATCACGTATACATAATTGCAAGTATAATGCTCAGTCGAATAAAAACTCAGGCTTACGGATCGAAAGCTTTGCAATGATAATACATGGTGTTGCATGTCTATCAACCAAAAGTTGTAAACGTTCAATGGAGAAAAAGAAAGTTCCCGAGAGAATGTAGAATACAAGGTTAGATGTTATTGGATTGTTTAATTAAAAATTAAAGAATGATCATTAAAACTACTATATCAAGTGCATGCATACAAATGTGCAAATTGGTAGAACGTGCATTATTCTAAAAAGTTTACTATTATTTTGAGTATGAGTCAAAAATTAGTCATTCTGTACGCTTACTATTATTGTTCTTGTGCAGTGATGACCTTTGAACAGAAAAAGTGGATTGCGCTACTTCTGTAAATTTTATAGATTGGAAATGTGCGTTTGCATCGCAGGTTAATTGAAATTGCCTGTTATCTTTGGTCTTACTCTTCCATGAGTACGATGTTGTTTGATCGGTTGCGCTCTACAAGGAGGACGGCTTCACCGTGTTTCTCCTGCAGCGTCATCCGTTTGAAAATAACTGTTAATTATAAACTTTGGCTTGGTCACAGAGGTGTAGCCATGAAAAAGGGGAAAAGGGGAGGCTGCTCCCTCCTCTATAATGATCTCCTGAGCAGTTGATTGGACTGCAATGTAGAAATCGCGCGGTTTTTCGTGACTGTAATTTTTCTTTCTGAATATGTTTAAAAATTCAGAAGTGGTGTCAAATCCTTGAAATTAAAAATTTATCTGGGGCAACATGACTTTGCCCCTCGTTCGTGTTCGGAATACCTTTGTACCGCCCCCCTTTCCAAACAAGAAACATGGCTACACCACCACAAGATCAAATATATAATATAAAATATACAAATTCGTAGGTAGCGTCCCAGCTTTTGAAGTTCAACAATATAATATAAAGGTTTTAGTCGTATACAATTCAACATGTTTTACTGGTGTTTACCATGTTTATGCATGCGACGTGAAATGTTTACCACTATGTGCTAAATGGTTGTACTATCCTGTAGACACGTTTATTTGGTGCATTGATCTATTTCTTCACATGAATTAGTTGTCATTATGTGCAAAAGAGGCTACAAAGTTACAATTACTCAGTAATACGCTATAGACAAGCTGTTAAATATTGTTTGATGGCAATTGTATGATGTCAATATTTCAAAACATGGCAAGGATTAGCAATTCGAATCCTAGTCACTATCATCATACACAACACATGCTTTTTTAGCCATTTCATCGATAATGTCCAACGCCGTTGTTTCCATCTCATCCAAGATGAGATTCAGGAAATAATAAATAAACGGTAGCGGTTTATTGGTCACTATATATTTTGTATACGTTTTTATTTTGTACTTGTTGGCACGATCAAACGACTTCAACCACCTAGGAAGATCATCGTTCTGGCTGATGTAAAATCGTCTCAATCTTCTCCGTAGTTTGTTGGTCAACATATTAAATTCTTCGGAACCAAAAGCTGGAAACTCCATTTGGGAACGGTAGGAATCGACTATATCTCTAATTGGCTTCTCATCAATGTATTTGGAAGATGGCCAAAAACCAAATCTTTTCTCGACTGATACAGCTGCTACCATCCATACTCTGCCTGCAAAATAAACGTTTTAAAAAATGAGAATTGAAATATCAGAAATTCGCAATTTAAAATTCGCCCGGACACAATTCAGTAATGGGCTCAGTGGCGTAACGCAGAGTAGGTAGGGTTAGTTCAAAAACTAAGGGCCCCCAACAGTTTGGGGGCACCATCAGCCACGGCCTATCGCCCAGAAAATTAGAAAACGTAAACTGCAGGTTAAGAATCAAAATGGGAAAACGCAAAATTAATAATCTAAACAATAAAGCCTCCATCGACAACGGTAGCTGATTTTTTTATTCCATCTCAAATAAAACAACAGTTATTCTTATTAGTTGTTACATGTGTTGGAGACTGTTATTGTTGTTGTTATAGACACGGAATTTTCCAGAATATTCTATAAATATTCAATACAAATATATCTTAGTCAAACAATATATAATATCTCCTCTTCCTCCGTTCAGACGCCACTGAATGGGCTATAACAACATATACTGATCATTACACATAAAACGAACACGTTTTTCCAGTTCTGCAAAAGAGCTAGTTGCTATAACACTGTTCCAATCAATTGGTTGATATCTATACATTACACAATCCCGAATGTCGAAATGTTGTGATAATGCGATTTGTTTAGGGATTAAATGTATATTTATTTACTTAAACCAGAGTTAGTCTCGTTGATATTTTACCTGGTCGACACGACCTCAAAAACGTTAATACGAATCACCATGCAATGTTATAATACAACATTTGTAAATTCTGAACGCTGATTGGCTAAGAGCCATGTTGATATAACTCGATGTCAACACGGGAAATTTCCGCCGCTTGTAAACACGGAAATTTTTCTTATCCTTCGGGCTTTTGACATTGCTATATTATAAAAAATATAAAACATTTTTTCCGTATTGATATATAGTTATATCAACACTCGTGGAAGTTGGGAAAACTCGAAACTGTATGAAAACAGTCCGCCCTTCGGGCGTCGTGTTTCCATACAATTTCTCGTTTTCCCAATTCCACTCGTGTTGATATTACTGTATATCAACACGGAAAATGTTTTATATTTGTTAATTATCACACATACCTTTGAGTATTTTAATCTTTTGTTTCAAAACAACTTTTGAGTGAGTGCGCAGGGAAAGGGCTAAGGACTCTTTCTGGATGGACGGCAAATGATCCATGATTGCTGTCTGTAAACGATCAAAATCCCACTTTTGTGGATGATAACTACTAACCAGGAAGACTTTCTCTTCGCCGCAGTTGGGATTTTTCAAACATTCAACACAGTTATTCTTGATCTCTTTCAGCATCTTTTCTTCATTGAATTTTTTCCCGTGCTTTCGCTTTTCAGATCGCCTGTCGTTATCGATCTGGGTGCGAACGAAGAAATAAGACTTGCCCATCGATTCAACTTTTTCTGCTAACTTTAGATCATATTCTGTGAATCTCTTTGCGCAGATTATCAAAAAGGTATCGAATCTTTCTATGCCAACTTTTTCAAAGAATGTTGGAAGATCGGGATAATTTGGCGTTCCAATGCCGGGTAGATCCCAGAAACGGATCTTCGCATTGGTTGGATGCTGGTAGGGAGTTGGTATTTTTGTTGTTTCCGTTGTACCTGTTTCCGCTGCTAGCTCGTGATCATCATGCACTCTGCATTTGAATAAAATTACAAATGGTTTTTACAAGTATAGTTAGTATTGTTATCCTGCGAGCAGGCTCTCAAGGTGAATTAAGAGCCTGCACTGATGATTTAGAATTTTGAATATCTGCCCCGTAACGTTAATTCGTTTTTCCAAATATGGAATGCCTATCCTTATATGGTGTTGTTTACAACTTTCGTGCAAATTAAATTTAGACCGTACAGTTTATACTGTTTTTCGAAATATAAGATATTCAAGCAAAAGTTTAAATGTTTTAAATACGGTTTTCTCAAAGCAGAACATTTCGTGCTTTTTGCTTCAGCAGTTGACAGATATATTGTGTAGAGCTCAGCGGAAACATATATATTATAGCATATGACCAATAAGAATTTCGCATCCCGATTCAAGACGCAGATATTCGAAATTGTATGCCATCAGTGCAGGCTCTCAATTCACCTTGAGAGCCTGTTCGCAGGCTAGGGCATGGTGTGTTTGGGGACATATTTCAAGGCCTCCTCAGTCAGTGCACACATTAGTGCGTCTATATAGATACGAGGATGTCCACCGTATTTAACTCACGAGCTTGCTTCAGCAAGTACATGCACTTGGTACAACATGGTGACATTAACACATCCAGACATGCGTTTTGTGTAATGAGTGCTCAACTGACCACAAGGAAAGTGAGCTTTGCATTATCGCTAACAGATGAATACGATTATATTTTGGTCCACAAAATGTTAAGAGTTTTCGTTGTCATATAGCCTAATACAGGGACCGCCCAAGCAGGGCCCTGGGGGCATATAAATAGGAAAACTACTGAAAGCATGTAAATCTATTTCCAGCAATCGCGCAACGGTTGCATTTCGAGAAGCGACAAGAGCTCATGCATTACTGAAGTACAATTTGAAAAAGTCAAACGTAAACCAAAACAAGCTTGGAAAACTCTTAATAAAATCTTAAATTGTCCAGAAATAAACTCTGTCAATATCCAGAATGGAGAAATATCTGAACCAACTAAGTTACCGGAATGTTTCAATGATTATTTTTCTAATGTTGGTCCAGATATTGCCAAAACTATCGATAATATATAGTGACAGAAATTTTACAGATTACATAAAGCAACAAGCAATTCTAAGTGTAATGATAGTAAGTGTAATTGTAATTGTAACTGTCAGTCTTGTATTTATATATAATTTGTAGGCTATTATTATATACCAACAGTCAAAGTCCCCATTTCTAGTTTTTTATTGGTCGAGAGCATATCACGTGAGAGTGACGAAATTAGGCTATCTTCTCGCAACAGCGCGAGAGGGAGATAATACGTTATCACATACTTGTACCTTTATCGGGTAGGAAGCAGCGGGACATAAAAACTATATCGTCCCGGATATCGTTTTTTGTCCCGGATATCGTTTTTTGTCCTGCTAAATTTCGCACCTTGTCAAAACAAAGATGGCCGACTCGAGGTTCGTGTTGGTTGATGTCGACAGTTTTATCGAAGGAAACAAGAACGATAATACAAAACGAAAGACTTAAATAGTATATTATTTATATGAATGGTCTATTTATCTTCTAAAATCATATTAAATTTGTTCAGTAAAGTAAAAAACAAATTCCGAAAATACAGGACATCTTGAGAATTCAATATATAATTCAAAACAAGACGCAGTTTGAGACTGTAAATCTTCGACCCAAACTGCGTCTTGTTTTGAATTATATATTGAATTCTCAAGATGTCCTGTATTTTCGGAATTTGTTTTTTACTTTATTTTTTAAATGAAAATGTTTAATCAATGTTTGTAAATCGGATAAAGATTTGTCCTGATTTACATAAACTTCAGCTTTGATTTTCTCGGTTAAGACAATGTTTATTTTTTTTTTTATTTTATTTATATATATATATATATATATATATATATATATATATATATATATATATATATATATATATATATATATATATATATATATATATATACAACAGAATAACTGGCTACGATCCGAGAGAAACCAATACTAAAAATGTACTAAAGTAATAAAGTTTTAATTTTCGACTGAATGTCTCAGCCTTCCTCAGAAATAATATTACTAGTAATTTCTAACGTATATATATACACCAATAATATGCAAATATTACAATAATGATAACTAATTAAGCTTAGTGATAGACAAAGAAGTCACTGTTGCACAAAATCATGACTATCATTTAACCCTCCCCGATTAGTCAAAAGGGTCCCAATCCAGAAGTTTTCACATTCCAACAGATTACCACAACGCTGATCAATCAGCATAAATTGCAAATATGAATGATCAGCCCCGTGGCAATCCAGGAAGTGATTAACAATACTACAAGTTCTGTGCCCACGCTTAATGTGTGACTTGTAGTTTGCAAGGCGGGCCTTAAAATTAACAGTAGAACCAACACCCTGCAAACCACAAGCCAAACATTCGGCAAGATATACCACTGCCTTGGACGTACATGTAAGCGATTTACAGATTTTGAAAACTTTCTTGGTAATAACGGAACGAAAAGTGTGCCCTTCTAACAAAAAATTCATAAGGTCAACAACCCAGCTAGAGTTATAACTTCTG